CCCATTCATCTATTCTCCTGGTTGTAAATTTTTCAGAATACTGGGAAGACTCTTTATGTTGTGGATTAGGACTACTAAAGTTTTTCCAAGCTTTTCTTGAATGACGTTTACAGTCCTTGGTTTTAGTCCTAGGTCCATGATCCACCTTGAGTTGGTTTTTGTAAAGTTTTAAGCTGTTTATTGACCACCTTGCAGAATGATCTGGACAAATGGGCATAAAATATGTATTAAACCAATACTCTTCACAGGTTAAAAGCAAAAATATTATTCGTGAAATAATATTCTCTTGGACTAGAGATGAAATTTCAGTATTCTGTACCACTACAAAAAAAAATATTGTACAAGAAAAAAACTTAGAATTTTGGTAACTCAAGTTATCTAAAAGATGCAAGCAAGATCAATAGAGAACCTCAATATCCTATTATACTTTTGAGTAACTATTACTTTGAGAAATAATAATTGAGTAATTATTTACTTACAAAAGACACTTTGTAATAAATTTTTCAAACAACAAATATAAAAAAGTAGAGGAAAAGACATATTAAATTTTACTCCCATGCTCTATATGCTAAGTATATTGGAAACAAGTACTTCCCATCTTAATCCAAATTAAGTGTTTTAGTTTCTTAAAACATACTAACCATTAGAAAACTAGACACTGCAAACAAAAAAGTCTAACTCATGGAGACCTTCAATCAGGTTTGTGAATCTTAACGGAAAGAGATTACTTCATCTTTCACTCACCGAACAACTGCTTACCTTCCAGTCAGCATCCCCAAACCTAACTATTATCTTTTTTAACTACATCATTTTATATCCAAAAGCAAGTAATGGTCACTGGACTTAACTTGACCATTGCCTATGGTTATGTAAAAAATCAGAATAGATATCATCTCATCCCAATCAGAATAGCAAAATTAACAGAACAGCAAGCAACAAATGCTGGCAAGGTTGTGGAGAAACTGGAACCCTTATTCACTGTTGGTGAGAGTGTAAAACGGTGCGACCACTGTGGAAGGCGGTATGGCACTGTCTCAAAAAGTTGCAAATAGAGATAACATTTCACCCAGCAATTCCACTACTAGGAATATATTGCAAAGAGACCATAACTGACATCCAAGCAGATATATGCACACCCATGTTTATCGTGGCTCTGTTCACAATAGCAAGGAGTTGGAAACAACCCAGGTGCCCATCAACAAACGAATGGATAGAGAAGCTGTGGTATATTCACACAATGGAATACTCTGCTGCATCGAAAAACAAGGAACTCATGAAATATTCAAAATGGGTGAGGCTGGAGGACATTATGCTGAGTGAAATATCTCCATCGCAAAAGGACAAATACTGCATGATGCCACTGCTGTAAAATGGGACTGATAATCAGGGTTGGGGTAAGACCGAGAAAAACTGGATAAACTTTGTTACTGCACTGAAACAGATGAGGGAGTGAATAATTTAAAAGCGATGTATGATAGGGTATTATGGTTATCACAAGAGTCCACAATTAAGGTTGCACAGTGGAATGTACTTGGGGCGGTGGGAGGGGTGCGGGGGAAGGGAACTGTGTACCAGGGAGGGAGTGTTTCTTTTACTTTTGAAAGTGAGAAGCAAACTGGGGGGGGGCGATTGCAGGGAGAGAAGTGCAGCAATGAATGAATGGAAATCCAAAATCTCTGTAAATGTTCATTAAAATTATTTTTTAAAAAATCAGAATAGGAATTCTTAGCAGCTAGTGGTTAAGAACCTGTAATACAATCCTAATGACACTGGGTTTGCAACCTTTGGGGAGAAAAATAGGCAATCTCCTCCCAGGTGATTACTGCCTTTGCAAAGCCACTGGAAGTCAGCTATGGATCCAATCTGACTCCACTGAATACAACAACACTGGGTGTGTCAGCATTAAAACAGTAATTCCAAGATTCCAATTTGCAGATACAACATGATACTATTTTAATAACAACAAAAACTCTGAAACTTCTATGAATAAATAGGAAGGAAGAATAATTAAGTTTATTTGGACATAAGATATACTGTCCAAAAACAAATAGGAAAGCACAGATCATTCCTCTAATCATAACTAGAAAGCACACTGGCTAAACTCTCTAAACTATTAAAACTCAAAACTCAAACTCACTGCCAGTGAATCCATTCTGGCTCATGGCCAGAACCTCTCCACTGGGTTTTCCAAGCTAGAAACTGTTAACAGGAGGGACCTTTCTCCTCCCTTTTCTTCTCTATTTTCTCCTGAGGAGTTACTGCTGGCTTCAAAGCACCAGAGATACAAGGTCTTTGAGTTAGCAGCAAACTTGCTATGTAGGTTCTACCCCTCTAGACGTTCCTCATACAACCCTATACACAATAGCTCTGAACCCTGAGCCAATCTCACTGTCTCCAACACACCTACTCCAATTACCTCAGTCACTGTGTCAATCCATCTCATTTTCCTGCACTAACCATTCACTCCTTCCAAGTAGGACATCTTTCTCCAAGGAATGGTTTCTGGAAACATATCAAAAATACGTGAGACAGGAACTTCACAATCCTTGCCTGCAAGAACAACTTGGTTTCACCCTCTGTAAGCCAGATCTCTTTGTTCTATTGGCAGTCCATATACTCTTCTCAAGCAACACAGCTTAAAGGCATATTCTTCTTCTGTCACCTTTTAGTTACTGTCCAGCTCTGTAAGAAAGTGTGTACGAAGATCATGGCCTGGAACAGGT